CGCTAACTCATGTGTCTTGCCAGTTTTTTGCAAAAACATCAACACCACGTGAAGAACATGCCACATCACTGCAGCGCTAGACGCGGAAAATCGCCACCGATTTCACCAATTCCTAAATCATGGATATTTACACATGACTGTCAACGTTTGCACCCCAGCTGCAGTTTGAGGAAGTCACGTTGGATCAGACCTTTGAAAGTTTTGCCATACGTATCTCGGATATATGATTCCGTCAGATGATGCATGAACGACACGTGGTTTACTGTGTACTGGACGATCCGCTTGAGCATGGGGATGTTGTCGTTCAAGAACCTGAGGAATCTGCAGAAAGCTCTGAATGCATTCACGGCCTCTGATGCGGACACCTCGATAAAATACACATTGGAAAGATTGACCGGAAACTGAATATCCAGGTTAATAAACACTTATCCACAGTCAGCCTCGTACAGGCCGACTACTTTGGTATTGTGCAACACGCCCGTTTGCTTTTGGCGACAATCCTCCAATCAGTCGAATACCTGTGTAACGTTAAAGGACTAGCCATGGGTTAGCCATTGAATAAAGTAGTACCAACGTAATTTGGCGCGAGACGTTGCATGCAGATGAATACTCCTCAGCGTCTGTGACAAGTGAAAGTTAGGGGGCTATTGCCAATCTGACAGAAATGATTGGGATGACTTATTGAGTTGCTAACGCTAAACTTTAAAGTTCAAAAGTTAGAAATATGCTCGTTTTAAATTGATGTATTCTTGTGTCTGTAAGGCTTGCTACACCGGTTGTGACGACGCCATGGCGTGTGTAGCGAAACGAGTTGACAGTAAAGTGTTAACATCCGCCCTCAGTTGGTGCCCTCAATGATAACTCTGAAAATCCATCTACGATTTCATCAATCGGCCCAGAAACGGAAAATTAATGTTATGTTTACTGTATAAGTTTCAATTCAGTAGTTTGACTAGGTTTTTATAATTTATTACTTCACCTTCCACGATCTTTTTCCAATCGTATCACTGAGCAGACGCGTCATATAGTAATTCCAATGCTCCCGCTTCTGTGCCAGCGTCTGAGCTCCTTCGGAATACAGCCGGAGTCTAGAGCAGACTCATTCAATGTATTTGCACCAGGTTAATCTTGCCTGTTCCTTGGGCAATTTGCCAGTCGGCTGGGCAAGAAGTGGCTGCTTCGCTTTCGTTCCTCGCAGAAAGCCTATTTCAGCCGTTTGAATCCGGGATCGAAGATTTTAAGTCATGGTCCACGACTCATGAATACCGAGAACTTAGTCTTCAGTCTGCTCTAGTCACAGTAATGACAATTATTTATTATTACTGCATTTTTCGACACAGACCTTTGTTTCTGTTTCTGCTCCTTTCATACCCTGATGGTAAACATTTCGATGTGTTCCGAAACAACAGTCTAAAACGAATTCATGTGCTTTAGCTTTGTGCTATTCCCCGCTTACAAAAGATTAATTACTTTGAAAAACTTTTACTGACATGTGCATATTATTCTAATTTATAAACACGATATGGTTTTTATACTTCCACCATATTATGTATAAGAACAAACTATGAAGTGAGGTTCAAACGAAGAGGTTTCAGAAGAATAGTTAAAGGGCTTCTTGAACATCCCTGAGATATAAGGCACTATAAAGTACAGACTAGACATAGATGGCCTTGCCTCTCGTCAAAGAAGTGCCATGGTTCCAGAATTCTAAACATCTGTGAGTGAAAGCTATTCAACTCAGGTATTGACTTCACGACACGCGCTCAGGCAGGTGCTCTGGTAGAACCAGACCTGGCTGAAAGAATCGCTGAATAAAAGGCTGTCAGCGGAAGAGTTGCAACCAGCGGACTTAAGTTACAATAAGTTAAAGTGACGAGGTGGCAAGAAGGTTGATGTTTACTGACGACTCTTTTGTTGACATTCTCTGAAATGCTGTCTGAAAAGGTTCGCAGCCGAGTGTGACGTGGCCGGAACTGGAGTGAACGTGTCTACAACGAAAAATTTAGTTCCTTGTCGTTCTTCTGCCCTTCGCGCTCTACAGCCAAACAGAGAAACAGTTGAACAGCTGGAGAAGTTCACATACTTCGAGGTCGTGCTTAGTGGTAATGGAAAATAGGAGGAACAGACCGACCGGCGAATTCGAATGCCCAACGACGTCCTTCGTGAATTAGCCTGAACTGTTGTGACTTAAGCAGAGCTGAGTCTGAAGACAAAGTTTTCAAGTCGATCCTCATTCACATGGTCATCTACGTTCAGGAGTCATGGGCCATCATTGAAAATGCTTTATCAAGGGTAGAAGCGGTTGAAATGAGCTTTCTGAAACGAATTGATGGGCTAATGCGTCTCGACATTTTCCGGAGTACAAATACGCGAAAAAAGGCTTGTTCCACAGCCGCTGCTTCTTCAGATTCAAAAGTCACAGTTACCATAGTTTGGGCCATGCCTCCTTGTCGAAGATAGAAGGCGAAACAGGTACTACTTCCCATGTAACGGTCAAAGACCTTGGAAATGGCCAATAATCACCTGAGGAACGTACTTCCGTCTGATTCACAAAGCCGGGCTGATCAACCGCAGATAACATATCGCAGTTCAAGAATGCCGCTCGCAAACTCCCAGCTACCTCATTTACTGCCATTATTCTTCCAGGTGATATACGACATGAATCCCAACGAGTTTCAGCAGTCATACCAACAGTAACAGATGGTAAATTCAATTTCTCTGCCCGAATTCATAAACAGAGTATTTAAGCTCAAAATGTGGTACAGAGAGGCTCATGTTTAGTGATCGAATATGCCCTTGTTCAGCCCAACCCAGTGATATGGTCTTGCATCGATATACTGCAGGCACTTAGACACTATTGATGTTTTAACGGAACCTCTAATCTACTCAAAGGAAGGAGGTGTAGGTAGTTTTCTTTCTTTCTAATAAAAATATGAAACACTAATAATTGATAGCGCGAAGGATGTTAATTTCAGTTCCAAGAAATCAGTCCGATAAATCACTGCGCATACCCTATATTCGTTCATTCCGCATTTACAAACACTGATGCATATTCAAATATTTGACAAATTTAATCGTTTCTTCATCTGAGGAGTTTTGTGTAAATGTGCAATGCCGTACGGAACATTAATCTTAAGGTTTGCAAGCGAATAGGTTGTATAAGCATTTTTAAGCGGCTGAGGTAGGCGTCTGCTACTTGTTAGACGTTAACAAATGGCTGAACATCAAACGCCTTAATGCCTCTGGCAAACGACCTTCATATTGCCTGGCAACAGATGAGGGGTAGGCGAAATGAGGTTATTGACTGGTCGCTTTTACTCACGCAGTTCGTTTTCGTAGTGATGATCGCTGCCGTTCATGAGTTTCAGTTTGAGTGATAGCCAGCGTTTCATGGCACTGCGCAATGACAGCATTCACCCGTTGCCACTCAGAGTGAGTTCGGCTGACGTGACCTGAAGAGGACGAAAGTTTTGAACGCCCGGCCGAAAGTCGGTAATGCAAAAAGTGCCGGCAAAAGCATCTCCTAGCTAAGTAGCCGGGTCCTTAAAAACCAATCAGAAAGGCATTTCAGATGAAATCAAGCCCCTAATTGCTAACTGTACCTCGTGGTCTTGCGGATCAACTCGTTATGCCTGTGTTTAAGGATATTGTGTTCTTTGCTCCGCAAGTTACCAATGTATAAGCTGGTTCGACAGAGGTAATGATTAGAATTGAAAAATAGCAAACGAACAGTCGAACAGACACTTGAAAGAAGGACTTGAAATTTCAAAAGTCTCAGCAAATAGAATGATCCTCACTGCATCTTCGAGAGTATGACAGCAATGCCATTATTCCAGCTGAGTTGTTACTACTCAGGATGATATATAAATATTGTATTTTCGTGTCGTAGTATCACAAACATCATTAACGCAGTTTATTAGCTCATTATCTGTTGTTATAAGGTGTTCAGCAGCTATCAAAATTATAGATAGTGTCATGTTCTTCATAGAGATCATTAGCTGGACCCTCTTTTATGCTAATAGACAAGGAGCTGCTTATGATTCAGCATTCTACTGCCTCCGTAGCATCTTGCAAAGCAGGGGGGGGGTAGAAATGGCATCGGACTGTAACGATAAGAGCCGTATCGTCGGCATGCTTCGCACAGTTGGCAGCTATCATAGGCTGGAGGTTGTCCACTAAATTTTTACAACTGCAGTGACTGCAGCA